GCGAAAAGCCACGAGAGGGAGCCGTGGGAAGCAGTAAAGCTGCCTCATTATGCAGCGTGTTCCTTTCAAAAGGCACTCAGCGCAAGACTATGAAACTTTCAGAGCCTCCCAGCATCTTTATCTGGAATGGAACTCGCCCTAAAAATTAGAAAATGCTATTGAAAAGAACAAAACCAAACCAAATAAATAATAATAAAAACAACAACAACAAAAGCCCCACAGTAACAAAACAAAACAAAACAAAACAAACCCAAAGCCAAACCAACCAACCAAAAAACCATCACAAAAACCTGCCAATAACAAAACTCAAAACCAAACCAGCTTCAAAACAAAAACCTGCGTGAAGGTCCTTTAAAAAATTGTGTCTATTAAAAATGAGATCTTCAGTAGACACCACAATACCTGTAATTTTAAGGTCAGATGTTATGTTTTGATTGCTGCTTCCTTTATATGTATTTTAAGTAGTAAAATGTATTATATAATATAGATATGACATTTTGTTGATGAATATGAACATAAAAGTGTACGAGAGGACAGACCTGCTTATGTAATTTGGCCCCATGATAACAGCTCTGTTCTCCACTTGTAGGACATATTTCTTTGTACTGTTAAGTCTTCCATTGGAATCACAGCAGGAATTAAAAGGGTATCTGAACTCCTAGACAGTTGCAAAAAATGAATGTGGCATTAAATGGCTCAAGTCATGTCAAATATATAGGGCTAAACATGAACATTAATTATATGACCAGAGGGACTCAATTTACTTTGTAAAGCAATTAGAAGAAGACAGAAACTTACAGTCTTTTACTGGAAAAGAGTAATGTCTGTTCAAAAATAACTTCATACCAATAATAGCTTGCCTGTCTCACATAATATCAATTGTGGGAGGGGGAAAAAAACCAAACAGGCACTTACAGCACTGGTTCTTTATGGAAAACCAAACCCAAGTTTTAAAACAATAGAAGTTGACTGTTAAGTGCCCAGATCCACATCTCACCATGTAAACAATCTGCTCTTCTGTCTGAACAACACATTCCAATTTGGCTTTCCCTTGTGTTTTGTTCTCCATGGGCAGGTTAAGGCAATGAAAGTGGAACAGGTGGACAGGTTTAAGGAGACAGAGGGTTCATTTAATTTAAATATAGAGTACAGATTAATATTGTTCAGGATTGTTCTAGTAGTCTGTCTCTTTTTCTTTTTTTTCTTTTTTCTTTTTTTTAAGTATTTACTGCTTCACAGGGGATAGGCAATGATTCCTTTCAAGCATATTAATTAGAGCTTCAAATAGAATTTGTTCCTATATCCATAAACACAGTTGATATGTATGAAAACTTCATTAACCTAAAGTCCTTGCTTCAACAGGCATCCTGATGGAAAGTTAGCACATTCTTGGATACTTTTCTGCATTTTAGTTTTGGTTTGAGTGGTATTCATACTACCCTTTTCTTTACAGTGTACCCTCTGAAAATGCCAGTGATCTGGTCCCAGCTGTCAGGAAGAGCATTGTACCTGTTCAGACTAATAGCCATAGCATCCATCCCTCTCTCTGTCCTGGCTGGACAGAATGCCAGGATCAGACATCTTCAAAAACCTCCTGGTGCATCATCTTCAAAGCAGTATAGTCAAAAGCAATAGGACTGTCCTCACATGGTCTTTGTACTTCATTGTTCACTGTTCATAATCACTTCAGAAATCAGCTTCTAGCTATGGGCTAAAAAAACTACGGTAGTTACTTTTGTCTTTGGAGCATCGCACAGCATCAAAACTTCTGATGCACCTTTTCCATTGCTACCCTGATTTAAATATATTAGAAAGAAACAGCATACGTGGTTGGTCTACTCAGTATTGCACTTAATTATTCCTTCTTCAGTATCATGCTTTAAGGTTTTTGTGACATTCCCCTCTGCACTGTTGTAAATGTGACTCTAGTGGGATTTAGGAGGAGTTTAACACATATAGAAATGACAGCAGAAAAAGCAGCTGAGGTTGTTTGTCTTGATTGTTTATTTCAAAACTATAGTGAGAAAAAGAGCTTTAAAAAACACCTCAAAGCTCTCTGAGAGACAGCATTTGGGAGCCAGGGGCTATTACCTTTACACTTCAGTAGAATCTCTTTGCTTTTATGTCCCCATTTCTAAAGTTAAAAAAAAAAAAAGTTGAAGACAGGGAGAAAGAACATCATTTCTGAGTGCCTTTCTCAGTCAAAATTTTACTGAAACTGAAAAATTCATATAAACAAGGACTTCCAGACATGACAGCACAAAACTTTTAACTCCTGTATGGAAATTTCAAAATCTTTTGGTGAGAAAGGATGGGCAACACAAATAGCTCCATTTCTATTTTCTTTGATGAGTTCAATATGCTCTAGGTGTTGTCACTGCCAAAGGTGAGCATAAACATCCGTTACTTGTTAGGCAGGCAGAGTTCTTGCTGCATTTCCAAATGTGGCTGAGCTAGCAACCTTCACCATTAAAACTCCAAGAACATTTATATATATATATATATGTCTTTTCAATATCTGTTTTATTTAAAAGGCCTTCACTTTTAAAAAAGTAAATACTAATGAAATCCACTTAAAAAGGGAGAATTAGTATCTGCTTTACTGCTTTAAAATGCCTTTACAAATTCTGCACTCTTGTTCATCTGCACTTACCAGCAATAAAAGTGAAATCCTGATTCTAAGAACTCCCAATTCTGTTTATACTCAGTGCTTTAGTATGCTTAAGTCTAAATGCATCCTGCAGCTGTTTCAGCTGGTTTTCAGGTGAGTACAGCCTAGCACACATGCCAGAAGATAGCCATTCTGTTTCAACACTCACCCCATCTGGACACAAAGTTGAATGAACACTGTAGGGTATATTGCAGATTTCACTTATCTGGAAGTCTATACTCGCATTAATATGAGAAAATCAAAACTAATTAGCTTTTCTTTGACTGTCTTGAACAAGCTTTTAAAAGACTTTTTTTTAAAGAAGTTTTCTACTGTTCACTGTATAAATGCACAAAGTTCTTCACTGTGTACAGGAAACACAGCTAGAGGCTTCTCCTTAGTACAACTGTCTGATTCCCAGATGAACCTCTTCTAATTTTAATTCTAGATCTGTATGGTATTTCATTTTTATAGTAGCCAAAGGAAAATGTCTGTAACTTTATAGTACAGTAAAGGGGTGGGAAGCATGAATACATCCATCTTACATCCAGTTTATTTAATACAATAGCAGTAAATACAGATAAGAGTTCACAAATCCAGCAGTGCTAGAGCTGGTGAGATACAGCTACCTGACAAATCAACGGTCTATTAGTAGTTCTGGCATTCCATGTGTGCTGGAAAGCTGAAGGGTATACATAAGTAGTCTTCAAGTTCAGCCTCAAATATTGGCAGTACAGTTAAAATACACTACTCCTGATATGGCAGAGCAGCATCTGCATAGAAATAAAGCAACACTGTGCTCGTCAGCACTGAGAACTATATTCCAATATTTGTAGTCTTTAAACAAGTGAAATATACATGTATATTCCTTTAAAAAGGAAGTGATCTTTGGTCAACATTTATTAAAATGTGCTTGAGTTTTAATTGCAACAGTAATGCTAAGATCATACACCTTTTCTTATGTTATCTTATGGGGGTGGACGTTTGAAAATCAGTATCCTGTTGTGACTGATAAAGCAATCTTACCAGGTAAAATTTCAGAGCAGAGGTAGGCTTCAGCTCAGCAACTTTCAAAGACTGAATCCCAGCTGTCCTCTGGAATGAGTATGAGGCAGAAATTCATCTTCACATCCCTCCTCTTCCCTTTCATAATTTCTGTATGAGCACAGCACTTCCAAACACATTAGGCTAAGCCCTTATTTTGTAAAGTCTACAGCAAGAACTCTGAATGTCAATTGACAACATATTTAGACCTGTCTGATGTTTAATATCCACATTTGTGCAGCTAACATATTCTTTAGTGCTCTCTCAAGTGGCATTTCAATACCATATGAATGACTAGTTGTAAAGACATTGGTTCTTAGGAAAAAAACAGTCTATGCAAGTTAGGAGGACAGCTCTGACTAGCAGGCTGACTTCTCAATCCAGGCAAGACATCCAAAAAACATTGTGCTCTTTACCAGTACACGAGTTTTTCAAACTTCCACTCCCATTTAAAATTGAACAGGCATATCCACCTTACAGGTAAGTAAACTTTATTACAGTCCACAAAAACTGCTCTATAAAAGGGATCAGCCCAAGATGTTACACTGGCCCTAGACTAGACCTAGCCATAAAATTATTTCACTACAGTGACCTTGCCAAAAGAGTCCAATGCTCACTGACTAACATTTCACTAACATTTCAGTTCCCACCTTCCTCAACCCTCTCCACTTTCTTTCATCTCTCAGGAAAAAAAAAGATACTTAAACAGGAGACAATACTGCTTTGTTTATCTGCTTCCCTACTTCTGGTGCCACTGCAAGGCAGCTTTGCAAGTAAATCCTGTTTGTAGGTTTGCTGTCTAGGCATTTAATTAATAAACATTTCAGCAGTTGTTGGGTACCTTCAGGCACACAAGGATCTGAGCCATCCACCCTTGAGTTAAATACAAATACATTATCACACAGAGCAGCAGTATTTTGCTTTTCTTTAGTGCAAGTGTTCTTGCACAAAAAAATCCAACCACTTCTCCCAATTCTGAAATACAATCTTGATCAGCACAGCTGAGTTTATACTTCAATCACACCTAGAAGCTCTATCCAAGACCACACTGGCGTTAGATTAAGGGTGAGAGGAGCATCTTGCAGTTGAAGTGACATAGCCCTAACACAGTAAATCTGTAGAACTGGAAATAGAAAGTCAGGTCTTCTGGGTCTAGACCCTATCCACTTGACCATACTATCTCCCACCACTGGTTTTGACTATCTTACTCCTCTAGACATTGACTCTTGGAAGAAATTGACTGAATCCCAAGAGCTGCCTGTGCTCCATTATTTCAGCTTACTCCTACTTCAAGACTAACCCTCTTTTACACAGATTTCCTTCTCTTTCCAAACACATTGTTGATTAACTTGGCCATTGACTTTGATCCACTTGATCGTCTCTTCTCCTTCACTTTGAAATTTGAGGTGATATTCCTCAGGACTTTTGTGAACATTGTCACAACTTCCTGATAATGTTCTGCTGCAGATAGTTCAAAGAATTGGCACTTGTTATCCATTGCCAGCTTTTGTCCTTCATCCCAGCCAACTTCCCTCATGTGGCATAAATCCTGTTTATTGCCAACCAAAAATACTGATGATCCAACCATCCTGAAATCAAAAAGGTTCCAATTAGATAAAGTATGTTGCAATATTGTGCTGTATTTTGTGCTATATACAGTGTGTATGACACGTACATCCATTCAGAATAGGCATTGCAAAAAACCTAAAAGAACAAACCAACCCCCTAACCTTGGTAAGAACTAGTTTTCCATTTGCTGTAGTCAAATGTCAGCGGGCCTTCCAGACAAGCTACTCTCTATCAGTGAATTTTCATTTGGTTTCTCTACTCAGTGAATTAATGTATATTCCATCCACTGTAGTTTTCATACTCTATACTGCTGAGTATATTGTCAGCTCCTGGACTTTGTGAAGAAGCAAGCTGATCATTATCTCCATGTATAGATAAAAGAATACAAAGAGATCCATCAGTGTCAGTGGCATAACTCAGAAGAAAACACAAGAATCCTAATTCCAAGCTTCTGCTATAATTACTCCTTCCAGAGAAACCTTAATTAAGAAACTTAAGCAGTAAAACAGACAGAAAAGTGGTTTGGTTTTGGTTTTGTTTTAAATCCACTTCTAATACAAGGAATGGATTTAAGTCTCATTTATATAGAAAGCACCTCAGCTCATTGATGCAGAAATGCACACTGCCACATGTACTCAGACTTAGCATTTCAGTGGTTCTTTTTGAAAGTAAGCAGTTTGTTTCTTAAAATATGGTCATGCACATGCCCAAACAATGTTGGGGTCACCACTAAAGGTAAATTAGGAGTCCTTAACAGTATTAATTTTGTGTGGGAAATGCTTTCTTCAGCCCACCCATTGGTGCACCTCTATTGATAATAGAATGGGAGAGTAAAAGCATAGGCTGAGTATACCAGCTTTTTATCCATGTAAATCACAGCAGATTTATGAACATTATTCAAATAGTAGTGCTGTAAGAAATGAGAACATCCTAATTTACTTGGCTTTGGATGCAGTGAAATAGATTGCAATTTGCAATACTGTTTACCTCCAGGTACTGATTTTGTGCTGTGCCACTAGGATGCTGCCAGATTTTAACTGCTACTAGGATGCCTAAAGATCATAGAAATGTTCTCCGATTCTTTTGTATGTTTGCTAGAAGAAACAAAAATAATTCCACTTACTTTTTACATGCTCCTATGTGAGACTCTCGGATCCTGTACAACAATGCTTTTGCAAATGCAAAGGATGCTCTGTCACTGATGTCATAAACAATGATAAATCCATCAGCCCAGTGGAGCTCGTCTGTCAGGGAGAGCTTCCCCCGCTGTGGCTGAAAGAAATTCAAATTCACATCAAAAAGAATGTTACTGTTGTCATATTAGAGCATTTTCTGTGCTGCAGTGAATGTGAGATTGTTGTATTTTTTCTTGCAAAAGTTATTAGTAGGTCTAGGTCACCAGTATTTGTGCTGGTTCTGGTTCTAGTTCTGTTTTGCATGTGCCTAATATTGTGACGGCAATGAGCCTTATTTGTTAAAGTCTTTGTTCCCACTAATTTATTCTGTTTCTTCTTTGTATTGTTCAAGTCTGAAAAAGTATTTGCCCATAGGATAAATTTCTATTAGGCTAGGGAAGAAAAAGTAATTTCAAGTTGCAGTTGACTTTAATAAAACTGGTGGCAAATTACAAAAGTGATAATGGGGTTGTACAAGTCCTTGAATCCCTTCACCCCAAGACAGTGTCACATTTTGATCTGTAGAAAGAAACAGCTGCAAACTGTCCCATTAAGCTAAAGAAGGTAATTTCAACTGTTTCAAATTAGCTTATCCCTGTAGATAACCTGGCAGCAGCTAGCACAAGACCATGTGACCCAAAATAGGTAAAATACTAGAAGCTGACAAAAAAGAATAATAATAAAGCAACTTTTGCTCTGTGAAAAAGCCATCTTGGATAGCAATTTCAGGACTGTTCAAGTTGTTCCCTCACTAGTTTACTATTTTGCTCCTTGGAAAGTATAGCTGCCACCAACATTTTACCCAGGTAGCCTTGGCTAGCTCAGCATTAGGGCAGCACTGCAGCATCAGAAACAGCTGCACAGGGAAGGCCAAATTTTAAACCCGGTATGGTAACTGGATGCTGGCAGCAAAAGGAGATGCATGAGAAACAAAAGATGAAACAGGTTCCCAGCACTATCTGAATATTTCAGCATCTTTAACAGAACAGTTTTTAGTATTGTGGTGACTGCAGCAGGTTTAGGGGCAAGAAAGGCAACTTGTGCATGTCACAGCTGTTTCCCAGATGGATCATAAAATATCTTAAGTTGGAAGTGGTCTATAAGGATCATTGAGTCAAACTCCCTGCAGGACTACCTAAGACTAAATTATATGACTAAGAGCATCATCCAGATGCTCTTTGAACTCCAGCAGGCTTGGTGCTGTGACCACTTCTGAGGACCCTGTTCCAGTGACCCATCATGCTCTCCGTGAAGAACCTTTTCCTAATGTCCAATTTGAATTTCCCCTGATGCAGCTTCATTCCATTTCCTTGTGTTCTCTTACTGGTCACATCTCTCTCTGCTACTTCCCTTGAGGAAGCTGTAGGCTGGTCACTTCAGCTTTCTCTTCTCCAAGCTAAGCAAGACAAGTGACCTCAGCCACTCCTTGTAAGACTTGCCCTAGAGGCTTTTCACCACCTTGGTTGTCCTCCTCTGGACACACCGATACTTTGATGTCCTTCTTATACTGCAGCTCTCAAAACTGCACTCACTGCTTGAGGTGGGGCTGCACCAATGCAGTGTATAGTGGGACTATCACCTCCCTTCATTGGTTAGCTATGCTGTGCTTGATGCACCCCAGGACACAGTTGGCTTTTTTGGCTGCTAGGGCACACTGTTGACTCGTGTTCAACTTGCCATCAACCCAACCCCTCAGATCTTTTTCTACAGTACTGCTCTCCAGGCTCTCATCCCCCAATTTGTATGTATAACCAGGATTACTCTGCTCCAGGTAGGGAATCTGGCACTTATCTTGTTAAATTTCATAAGGCTGGTGATTGTCCAGCTCTCTATCCTATCCAGATCTCTCTGTAAGGCCTGTGTAATCCTGAGGGAACACACAGTTCCTTAGAGTTTAGTGTAACTGGCAAACTTAAAATATACATTTGATTAATGTTTTTATACATGATCTGGACACAGGAAAGAGCAGTGCCCTAAAACTGAGCCCTGAGTAACATCACTGGTGATTGGCTGCTAGCCTGATGTAAACCCATGTACTAATAGTCTTTGAGCCTGACCCATCAGACAATTGCTCACACAATGGACTTGTCTAGCTGTATGCTAAGCATTTTTACCAGGATACAGTGAGAAACATATGAAAATCTTTACTAAAACAAAGAAAACCCCACATCTACAGGCCTCCTTTTGTCAACTGGATGGGTGACCCAGTCATAAAAGAAAATTAAGTTAAACAGGATTTTCCCCTCATGAACCCATGATGATGAGATCATGAGCTTTGCAGAACAGAAGGAAGCTTCAGAAAGCAAGATTTCAGGAAGCAGAAACAAAAATGGGGACTCTTTCTCCCCTAGTTTCACCTGCTCTCAGAATCCACTTTTCTTCCCTAGCTCCCATGGGATATAAGCCCTCCACTCCCCCATCCATCTCTTTCTAGAATCACCAGTTCTATCAGATAAACAATGCCACCACTACTTGCTGCCTAACTCCTCTGAAGGCACAAAAGGAAGACAGGAAGAGGACAGCTGAAGGCAGCAAGCAGCTTAAGTTAGGCCTTGTTCCAAAGGAAGAACTGAGACAAGATAACTCAATGACTGCTGGAAAGAAGATTTGCCGTTAACACAGCTCATCTGTGGTCTAAAAAAGCAAAACCTTAAAAGCAAAAGTGTACCCAGACTGTAGCAACCAAAGTCTCTAGCCATAACGTAGTCTAATCTGCTTTACTCCCAATGTTTTAAGTATCTTAATAAAGTCTTTATTACAAAGTGGTTTATTATGCTCAAAGTTCAGCAGTCAACATGTACAAGCCTGCCTTATGGCTTTCCTTGGATCAGTTCTGTGAACACAAGCCTTACTGCCAGGCCTATCTACTTGACCATTTCTGCACACATTTAGTAAATTCTTTGCTTTATAAACTTTACAAAATTTAATCTTTTTAGGGCATTTGAGAAAACAGCACACAATTCTGTAACTTATCTCTGTATTTACCTACATAATTCAGAAGTGGGAAAAGTTATTTCTGTCAGTAATACTCAAAAAATGCAAAGACATTTACAGAAAATTTAAGCAATTAAGGGCTTCTTCCATGAAATGGGAAAGTATTCCACATTTCTGAGCCACAGCAACTCTAAAATTTCAGTCTTAAAAAAAAAACAACACCAAAAAACCCAACAACAAACTCCAAGAACCAGACAGAAAGGTTATAAAGCCCCTGACTCTTTCTACCATTAGACAAGTAGAATGACAAAGAGCCTTTCTTTGCCCCCTAAAATACTTACCTGTGAACAAGGGTCATATATTTCCAAGTGTATCTCTCTCCCATCCAGGCATAAGTGTTTATTGTAGATGCATTCTAAAAGATACATGGCATTCAAGGAAAATCAGCATTAGAGTTACTGGAAATGGTAGTCAAAAGAAAAGGTGTTAAAAATGAGATGTGCTAATACTGAGTAGACATTTATTTCCCTAGGTACTTTTTCTTTTGCGGGGTTTCTGTGTTTGGTTGTTTGGGTGGGGTTTTTTTTGATACACACTGGACACAAACCTATTTAATTTTGCAACACCTGAGCTGCCCAACCCTTTAGACTGACCAGAACCACTTCATCGTGGTGTTCCCATGGAAGCATCAATGGAAAAAATACTTTTAGACTCTTGTTTTCCTGTTCCAAAATGAAGGCAAAGGGGATGTAAAATGATCAGAATCAGCTAAGTTCTACTCAGCTTGCAACAAAGGTTCCTGATTATGAAAAATTGTAGACCAGCCTATGTGGAAATTCTGATTCTACACTCAAGTTATTGTTTGGTAATAATGTTTATTTACTACGAAATCTGGTGCTTTAAGAGTTCTCCTGCTAGGTAGCATTAGCTCAAATAGTCTTCACAGGATCATGTCCCTAGACTAGATATTAAAATATTTTTGTAGTGTCATTCCTTAAATTTAAGGCTATCAAACCTGCAGCTTCTTGGTGTTTTCCATAATTAAAGCACATTTTTAATTAATACTTTGACTCAACCAAAAGTGTTCTAGGATGATCTTTTATCACTCCTATTCCCACTTTTCTCCTCCTTCCTCCTGTATAGAAACAGAGCTAGTTACTTCCCAACAAACATTTGTTTTAAAATTAAAATGTTTTGGGAAATTGACATGCCTTTTCTGCTACTTGCAGTACCAGAGGGTCAAAACAAGAAAACCTGGCTTTAATTGCAGTTGTCTTAGAACCCACATGGAGAGCACTGTGTAACTTACACATGACAGCTTAGGCTTAGACAAACCATCTGGGATACAAACTGTCTTCTCAGTCTGTGTTTGTATAGTAGCAACATCAGTAGAACACTTACGTAGAACTATAACTCTACTTTCATAATAAGTTTATTTGGATACAGTCAATGCAACTTAGCTTAGTACTGCTTTTTTTTTTTTTTTTAATGTATGAATCATGGAACTCTCTTTTTTTGTAAAAAAAAGGCTTTTTGAATATCTTTCACTTTACCATCTCCCTCACTTTTCCTGCTAATCTCCTTTCCCTGTTAACTTTTGGGACTCCTCATGCCCCATCACCTGAAGCAGCACGCTTCCAAAACTGTCTGTGTATCAGTTAAACACTGATTCTACCCGGGATGTGAAAGTTCAAGTCCTCCTGCTTTGCCATCTTTCCAGATCTTAGAAGCATCTTAAGGACCAGTGTATTTGTTCTGGCATGAAGGAGAAATTTTATCCTCAGCACTGTAAGGCTTTCTTCAAAGCTATCAAATCAGTGCCTCCCTGCAAAAGCAGGGGGCTTTGCATCATGCTTTGATAAACCAATAGTGCCGATAAACAATGTGTGTCACGTCTCCTCCAGGGCCGAGGAGGAGATATTCAATAAAACAGGTGCTGGGGTTGCGTTTTCCCTCTCTATTTCTTTACTTTCTGATTGAGCTCGCTATAATCTACCCGCACACGCAGCCCGGTTATCTTCCTAAGTCCCTTCACAGGCGCTACCGGAGTTTTAAGCGATCTGGCCACAGATACCTGGCTTGGCTTTTCCCGGCTTCAAAGCTTACACTTCATCAGCAACTCTCGCTGATAAAGCCTGCGAAAACTTCAGCCTTCTCCGAAAAGTTCTGTGAAACTGCGTTTCTACGCAATTCCTTGTCCCAATCGGTGTCTGAAGCCTCGCATCTTCCATTGCCCAGGGAAGCGGCTCCGCGCAGCCCCGAGCGGAGACCTCACACGACGCCTACATCCCCCGAGCCCCCAGCCCAGAGCCGGGGGGAGCCCCCCAGCCCAG